CTTGCCAACAGTGCGTAACAGAGACGTGACCGATCGCCCAAGCAGCTAACGAGCCGATCAGTGGTGAAAAGTATAAAAGATAAAAGGAAGTGTGGTGATGAGTAGAAAAATGCGTAATGTGTGATAACGGTTCATTATTGCAAAGTTTTTTCAATCACTTTCAGCTTGTCTGTAATTCTTTATCACATACAGTAGGTATTACAGTTATTCCAGTGGCATTCATGCTGTGATGAACTATCGGACAAATCTTCTGGGTTTGTCCAATAGCTTTGCGGTGTCCGATAAACAGGTTCTGTTATATACGGTGTCCGTTATACCGAGGGCTTACTATATACGTAATGGACGAGTTGACGGTCAGAATTTTTTCTTAAAATTGCAGGTCAATGACTGCGAAAGGCTCTGTGATTGGTTGTGACGTCACTGGCTGGGGTGAGCCGCAGCGTGCGAAGCAGACAGCTGTGGAGTTTGTGTTGTTACCAACGTAAATACAGGACTTGTGGCCATATGCAATGTTCAAGCAAAGGACAAAGAGTCATTGGTGCTTCGTGCCAATGTGCAAGAGTACTGACAAATCCTCACCAGGCAAAATATTCATCACAGTACTGATAGATAAAAAGATAAGAAAGAGATGGCGGCTTGCTGCTCGACGGCACTGCCCCATGACAGAATCCAGCATCTACTGTTGTGAAGATCATTTGGATTTGAATATGAAGTTGATATATATATATATATATATATATATATATATATATATATATATATATATATATATATATATATATATATATATATATATATATATATATATATATATATATATATATATATATATATATATATATATATATATATATATATATAATATATATATATATATATATATATATATATATATATATATATATATATATATATATATATATATATATATATATATATATATATATATATATATATATATATATATATATATATATATATATATATATATATATATATATATATATATATATATATATATATATATATATATATATATATATATATATATATATATATATATATATATATATATATACATACAGTGAGGTGTGCTATGTGAGCGGATCTACTACAAGACCATTCCTGCTTGACGGTTTTACCTATAAAATTGAAAATGCTATAACGAACGAAACTCCTACAACGAACATTATTTAATTTTTTTAGTTTTTATTTTTTTTTCTAATTTATTGTTTTTTTATTACAAATATTAATGATATTCTTTATTTCAGGGGTTTAGATGTATATTTATGCACTTTTTTACAATTTTTACAATTTTATATTATATTTTTCAGTGTTAAGTGGTTGTATTTGGGGGCCTGGAACGGATTAATCCTATAACGAACGAATTAGCCCACCCGGGCACAGGTCGAACGACCCACAACGGGGCCTAAGAGGCAAAAAAATAAGAACAGAAAGAAATAAAAAATAGAAAAGGAAAAGGTTATACTGTATTAATCTACACCACGAAGATGCCGGAAAACCAGCTTTTTAAAGTGAAACAGGTTGTATAAGTATGGAAACACAGAAGGCAGAGCATTCCACAGTTTGGCTGTGTGAGGAAAGAAGGAGGTACTATAACGGGTTATTATAGTGTGACCAACATGCACAGAGAAACGGTGGGCACTATGGGCAAGACGAGTGTTACGAGCCCATGGCCTTGCCGGCGGTACACAGAATGCCAAATCCACCGAACATTGCCCGTTAAAGTACCTGTAAAAGAGAGAGAGTGAAGCAACACTGTGGCAAAGAGAAAGGGAAGAAAGATTATCAACTAAAGGAGGAGATTTAATAAGATGAAATGTCGTTGATTCCACCCTATCTAACAGTTGGACAGAACAAGAGCCACCCCAGATATGAGAGCAGTACTCCAAGTTAGGACGAATGAATCCCTTATATACTTGAAGCAACTGCTCAGGAGTGAAGTAGCTACGGCATCAGTACAGCATTCCCAGCTTTCGGGATGCAGCTTTAGCAATGTTGAGGATGTGTGGCTTCCATGACATATTGGAGGAAATGGTGAGGCCTAGCAAATTTATTTCAGAATTTAACAGAATGATAGTTTCCTGAAATGTAATTGGTGGGAGATCATCTAATTTAGAAAGTGTAATTGGTAAATAGGCATACCTTATTTTTAGGTTAAAATAAATTAGTGCGTGTGTATTTACTTGCTGGGTGCCAAAATGATACAAAAGACCGATAACTCCAACATGGAAGTTTTCATCACTGTTCTCTATTTCATGTCTGGAAAATGTAAGGTTTTGTCACTGATGTCTATATTTAATGTTGTGGAAGGACTAGGGACGGCCAGGGAATGGGCTTGAGATGATCACATGACAGGCTGAGGATAGTGTGTATCATGGTTTGGGCCCCCAGTAGTGGTTAGGTTAGGTTAGGTCAGGTCAGGTTGGGTCAGGTCAGGTTAGGGTATTACTTTTAAATTTACTCGTATCTCCATCTAGTACTGACATACTCTGTAAATACAATTTTTACTTACTAATTCTGACCCAGCCACCAATCACAGCACTGCCTCGCTAAAACTCCCTTAAAACTCCCTTTAAACTCCCTTCTGTCCTCCCTTTAAACTCCCTTCTGTGCTCCCTTTAAACTCCCTTCTGTGCTCCCTTTAAACTCCCTTCTGTCCTCCCTTTACCTCTCCCCTCCTCCCCCCCCCCATTAGCCTTGAATACAGTTTGAGTCATTTTGTAGTTGGAACTGTACAATCTCAGAGATAAATATACAGTTCAATACTTATGAATAAACAAGTAGATAGGAATAAAATAAAAATGGTGTTCTTAGGTTAATCGATACCTTAATATATACTCTTAAGTTTCAGTTTATTATGAATTAAATGTATATCTTCATATTTTTAGACACCAAATTATTAAATATCTAATATGTATGGGATAATATATTCCCTTTAGGCGAGTATTTTTAAAATAAATTCACATTTTTATAATTATTGATATTATTACCACTGGTATTTTTAGTAACATAACATATTATTGCTGTAATTATTATAGTATTGTTTTATTATTGTAAGTATTGGATGATAATGTTTGGCGGTGCGAGGAGGAAGATGGTGACAGCATCATTAACTCCAATAAAGGAACAATACTAGAGGGAGACAGTAACAAAATTGTAGATTGAGTTAAAGAGGAAGCCAGGAAGATTCTTAAGGTGTGTAAACCATCCTTACAGTTTGATGAATCACGTGACGATTAGCCCCGCCCCAGCTCACTTTAACTATGTAAACACCCCAGAGAACATTACCCAGTTGAGTGTCACACTGGAGGATGCCGTCACACTAGGGAAGGCAGTAAACACTTGGAACAATCTGCTAGAGTTCTCACTTACTTTTATCCTCTTCACCACTGATCGGCTCGCCAGCCGCCCGGGCGGTCGGTCACTTCTCTGTCACGCACTGTTGGCGAGTACTGGGCCTGTAGTGTGTGACGCCCGGGGCGGCCCTTGAGTTTGCCGCCCCCCCTCGTGCCCCCACAAAAAATACATATTGCACAGTGACTCACTCTTATATATATATATATATATATATATATATATATATATATATATATATATATATATATATATATATATATATATATATATATATATATATATATATATATTAAATAGTTTGTGTACCATTATAATATTACTGTGCTTTCACATACTCAAATATAGTATGCTTTAAATACACCCCAAACATACTTAAACTTTATAAGTAACAGTTAAACAAAAAGCAAAAACGACATATAGGATAGGGAAAAAAGTAAAAAAAGTGTAAAAAATTAGGACCATCTTTATTTCTGAAATGAAAACTACAACTTTCTACAGAGTAACTTTTCTTGTTTTTTTGTTGGCAAATTCTTCAATGACATTGTCAAAAACTATCTCATCTGTCAATTGTCGCTCTATAGACAGTATGGCAAGATTTCTCAACCGCAAGGTGCTCATAGTAGATCTTAAGTAATTCTTGATCAGTTTTAGTTTCGAAAAACTCCTCTCACAGGTAGCAACACTAACAGCAATTGTGAGGAAAATCCTCAGCATTATTACTATATTTGGAACCGAGTTCCCAAGGTAATACTTTTGAATAAACTGCAAAAGTTCAAGGGGGCCTTCTTTCCACGTCTGGGGGGCTTTTGTCTGGGTGGGGGGGGGCTTTTGTCTGTACCCCAGTGAGGATAGTGTCTTAGTATAAAATCGCAATGCTGTGAAACAAAATCTTAATATTTATCTCAGTACCGCAGCAAAAGTCACATCAATATTTTTTAACCAATACTTTAATATTTCTTACCTTATAGTATTATGTCTTCCAACGAAGTAAATAACTGGATCGAAAACACAAGAGAACTTAAAAGTCGTCTAGCCTCCCCTCGTCTTGTCACGATGGAGACTTGTGCAGAACTGAAGTGAATTGCTTGTAACTGGTGGATTGGTCGGCTGTACATGAACTGATATGACCCGAGACTGCATGGTTTTGCAGCTACTGGAGACGTTAATCCTTCCCTTTGTATCGGCGGCAAGTTAATCCTCGTCGTATCTGACCTAACACCTGACCCACACCACATGAGCTCACTGGCGTACTTGTTTGAAGTTGTTTCCTTAATCCTCAACAGGTTACAGGTTGTGTGTGTGGCGGGGGGCCTCATAGCAAGGGTGTAGCTCATGACGTGGCCGTGATGATGTGGGTCAGGTGTTAGGTCAGACACGACAAGGATTAACTTGCCGCCGATACAAAGGGATGGATTAACGTCTCCAGCAGCTGCAGATATGGGTGATGAGCAGACCCAAAAGTGCCGCCCGGGGCGGACCGCCACCCCCCCCCGCCCCCCCTAGCTGCGCTAGTGTGGGCATGTACCGGCTCCTGAATGTATATCTTTTTTTACAGGGATTAGCCCCTCCGGACGCAGGTCACTGACCCACATCGGCGTTTTCCTTTTCTTTTATCCTCTTCACCAAAAGATCGGCTCGCCAGCCGCCCGGGCGATCGGTCACGTCTCTGTCACGCACTGTTGGCGTTTCCTTCGCAAATTATTTAATTATAAGGGGGATCCAGGGGGGCGGAGCCCCCCCAGGTTAGGAGGTTCAGTTATGTTTGCTTAGGTTAGGTCATTTGCGAGGGCAACGTCATCGAAGAAAAGTGTTTTAAAATTGTCTAAACCATTGGAAATACACTCTGCTCAGCTCGAGAGCCATATTGGTTGAAATTGCAAATTTACCGCAGCTATTATCAACCTTATTAGCACCTCAAGAGTCTAACGTATATACTGAAGGTGTGTTGTGCCTCATAGATTAGTGTTAAGGGGCGGGAGGGTAAAGTATTTGCCCCAAGAAATTCGTATCTAATAAGTACCTGTTCAGTAGCCATAGCGTCGTTTGTGTTGTGGGAGGCAGGATTGACACACACACACACACACACACACACACACACATTATCGCATATTCCATAACTTACATCACAATAGTTCAATAACTGTGTTACATCCTGGGTAAAAAGATAAATAAAAACAAAATAATGATTATATGAATCTGTCCAAAGTGGCTCAAACCGCATAGTGTTGATGAGAGGCAGAAAGATAATAGCAATAATCACCATCTTTTTCCATTTACAATTCCTTTAGAACTGGACAATTTATTAGTTTTAATTAGTAATAGATTGATCTAGGTCATACATGGTGGGTATGTTTGTGCTCCAGAGGGTGGTATCGAGGGGCTACGGTGGAGAGTTCCAACCCTCGAAATCTTGTTGGGAGGTGAAGATCGGATAACCATAAGCCTCCAGCACATCACTACACAAAGTTTGTATGTGTAACATCTGCGGGTAGGTCAGTCGCTCCCTCCATGCCCACATTTTATTCGTGGTGTTCTTACGGGTAGAGAAGGGATGGAGATTCTCGTACTCTGTATTGATACCTATAGTCATTGTGGTCACCATGTAGTCCACTAAGGCGGTGTAAGGGAGACCTAAGAATGTGTACAGTTGGCGTATTACACGTTCAGGATTCAGAGTCAGGTCCTCATACCGCACCATTGTATACCTGTAATATTGCAGAAGAAAAACATACAAAAATTCTGTATATTTCTACACGTATACATTACACACACACACTCTTTAATACTTCACTACACAATACTCCCCGTGAATCTATGCGTTATACACAGCCGAATTTAATCCAAGGAAGCTAGCCTAACGCAATACGATTTTACCAGATTGATTTATGAAGAGAGGGAAAAATGAATGGTAAAATGTTTTCATCAGACCCCACATTGATTCAACGTATACCGCGTATATACAATGCAGGTATATAGTTCCACATGTATATACTTATAGACTACCCAGACCTGTTCAAGATGTCCGGTTGAGAAAAGTATCACACAAACTCGTAAACTTTTGTAATACTTTTTGGTAAAACTTTGGAATACAGGATTTTAGTTATTAGGCTGTGCTAGTGAAGATAGATGGAGTTAATTTTGTGTAAGTGTGTGTGTGTGTGTGTGTATGTGTGTGTGTGTGTGTGTGTGTGTGTGTGTGTGTGTTAAATTTGAGATCAGTCCGAGGATTTTTTTTCCTTTCACATTTATGTTGTTGTTATTGAAGTATTCGGTACACTGGTGAAGGGGGTATAAGGATGATGGGGGTGGGTAAGGATGATGGGGGAGGGGGGTGGGGAGAGGGGGGGATTGATTGTTATTATTACTTGTTCACTATCATTCATTGTTACTTATTCTAATGAAAGGGTTTGCTCGTAATGGTATTGATACTAGTATATTATCTGTAATGGTAGTTGAGGTGATGGTAGTAATGGTAGGTGATGGTAGTGATGGTTAGTGGCTTACCTGTGTGGGTAATGATGGAGGAGGAGTCGAGCAGCGGTCAGATCTTGACGGTATCTCTCACACACCTTGGCGGGTTCCTTCTCATCCCGGGTGAAGAAGGTCCCGTTGATGAGTTTAATAATTTCCTGTCCCTCTTCCAAGTAGGAGCGGGAGGCTAGGAGGGCCCGCGGGTCCCTCACCAAGTGTACCAGTTGGGTCCTGAGGGCGGCGTCCTCAAGCAGGGACGTAACGATCCCCATTTCAGGTTTTACTACCCTAACAAAATTGACACACGACCCTTTGCACATATCATCCATCCAGGCAGGATCCTTGCATAATAGGCCGTAGTCTTGACACAGTGTCTTGAATTTACGTTCGTTTGTATGATGCCCGTGAATCCACTTTTGGGTATAGTTACTTTGTTGGGAGAACCGGCAGTGTAGGATGTCTCTTAGGAGTTTAATGGAGGAGTGTGTATCTGTTATACCAGCATCGCGTAATGGTTCCTCCGACAGGAAAGTGCAGGAGAGGGCGGTGAGCAGTTTCTGTGTAAACATTGATCCTGACCGCATCTGTGACCACAAGAGTATTTGGTGATGTTTTGGCTGACCTGTCTGGCCCATACCATATAGTATTTCCTTCACCATGACCCGCTGTGGTGGGGGTGGCAGAGCTATGAAGGTTTTTAGTGCCAAGATTAGGAACAAAAAGAGGACGAGGGCGAGTACCCGAGACCAACTTACACACTGCCAACTACAATTCCTCAGAATTACCTTCATCGTCGTGTTATTCAAGACGAGGACAGCGACCTAGTCTTTGATGGTGTAAACTATCTCCTTTGTGAGTGTCAAGTCCACTCTCTTGCCAACAATCACGTTATGGGGGTCACCTCCCCGACTTACTGAGCTGCGACACAATCAAGTTAGTCGAGAATATAGAGTAGTTCCCCCTAACGTGACATTCAATTGTTTATTTGTGTTGTTTTGATTCAGTGAGTGAGACTACATGAGGCCTTGCCCCTTGATTATCGCTCAAATAGTTCAAGGATAACCACTGTCACCCTCTACCTCTTCCTCCTCCAGGAGTGAACGCCAGGATGTGAGTCGTTCTTCAACTTTCCTCAGAACACAAGTGATGGGAGTCGTTCTTTTACTTTCCTGAGAACACAAATGAACACCAGGCTGGGAGTCGTTCTTCTACTTTCTTCAGAACACATGTGATGGAAGTCGTTCTTCTACTGTCCTCAGAACACAAGTGAACGCCAGGATGTGAGTCGTTCTTCTACTTTCCTCAGAACACAAGTGAACGCCCTCAGCGATCTTGGGTCCGTACTCTGCACTATGAACAGGAAAAGTGGCAGAATGGTGATGTGGCCAGGCGGCGTGGAAGTTAGATGCAACACTAAATGTTAACTGCATGCTTTTCCTAGAACCTCACGATGCGGGTCAGGAAAATTCGCCTAAAAATAAAAGTAACCAAGAAATGACTCGACAAAAGGTGGAAGTTGGTAGAGTTTAATATACAGAACTGGTTAAGTATTAATTTAATCGAAAAGTAACATTCAATACAATTTGTTTTAAATCACGTATTGTACCCTATTAGATATGTTAATTTGAGTTATTATACTTTTTTAAGGAAAACAATTAGAATATTAGTGGAAAAAAATCAAAAGGGATTTTTACAGAGCTCGTTGCCCCGATGAAGAAACATACTTCAATAAAAGATCTACAACACATATTCAGCTAGTCAAATATATATATACAACTTTATACTTATATTACCATCTGTAGACGCCATAGGAATATTCCGAACAATATACGCATTCCTGAGTTATAGCGGCGTAACCTATAGCCATTAGTAAAACTTATTTCAGAGAATTTTTACAGAGCTGGTTGTCTCAGTGTGGAAATAAGCTTCAATATATATATGGTGTAGCTCCTCAAGGCGTGAACTGTAACCAAGACACATGTAAGTAACTGTGTGAAGCGATACATAAACATCAGCAGAAGATGTGGCTACGGCTGGCCAAACCTTCACCCTTGGCAACTTTCTCTCGCTCATAGGGTGTGATGTCAACAGTACAGTAGGAACCAAGGGTGGAGGTCTGAAGGCAAAGACATTTTCTTTCCTAAAACAGTTTTGAAAGAATCCCAAATATCTCAATATTCCTCCAAGTGGTGAAGTCTGGTTCTCAGTGTCAAACAACAAGAACCACCTAAGCAAGTCTGTGGCAATAGACTAATTGTCTCACCCGACCTATGGTTAGGTGAATGGCAAGAGGTTAGGTGTGGGATCCGAATGACAGTCACCTTCTCGCAGTAGGCCCTGAGTGTACAAAGAATTATATTCTCTGTATGGCTAAGAACTGTAAGTCAAATTGTCCACTAATCACAAAGGAATGATATAAATCCACTCACTCCAGATATTTAATTTCTCTCAAGTCACAAGATGCAGAAAGTTTTAAAGTTCATAACTCAAGTCACTCGCAGGATTAGGGAGCGTTGCCCTGATTAAAAATGAAGAGTTATTTAGGTGACATATAAAGTCATGCTGGATCATGCTCAGCCGCTGGGTTATAACAGGAAACTCTACTGTATATACTCCCAAGGTCTACCTGCACCGTATACCTACATTCTCTATATTCATGTTGAACTGTGTAACTGCCAAGTTTATATACATGTTTATCCAACTATAAACCTGTATGACTGTTTTACTGAATTATTATTATTATTATTATTATTATTATTATTATTATTATTATTATTATTATTATTATTATTATTATTATTATTATTATTATTATTATTATTATTATTATTATTATTATTATTATTATTATTATGGTTGTAATTCCTCTTCTCTTTGCCACACATTACACAGTCTTCAGAACCATTTTAACACACAGCCAGCCCGCAGTAGAAGGTACTGTCAAATGAGCGCCATCTACATTTAGTGCGACATACTCCAAGGCATCTCTGGTAGTGGGAGTAATAGTTTCTCTTCTATATTTCCTGGTGGTGTCTGTGTACAGTATTGTCACGAACTGTTGTGTGAGAGTAGGAAGTGTTCCGGGTGTTACTGAGAGATGTTTGTGAAGAAAATAACTCATTTATTTCAGTATGTGAATGTGATAGGTAGCCATAAGCAGGAAAACTATGAAAAATACGCCAGGGTCAGTTAGCTGCAAGCAACAACAATTACGAGAGGAATGTTTCTGCCAGCCGTGTTCGTCACTATGTAAGGTAATGTGTTTTTGCTCAGTTGCTCGTTCCAGCTTTACAGCGCTTCATTATGTGTTGTTTCGTCTGAGCGCCGTAGGCAGTGGCCACAGCGTGCTTGTGGTACCGCGCTGTCTGCTGCCACTTGTCAGCTTTTTAGCCGCTAGGGCATGAACTGGCTCCAGTAAGTAGCTGCTCCAGTGTTGGTGTCAAGTTTGGTCCTGAGTGAGCCCCCACACTCGGTACGAGTATTTGCTGATAGTCCTCCCCTAAGAACATTCTCACGTTCTCTCTTATAAAGAAAAGAAAATGTATTTTACCATAGACTTAACTAAATTGATCTCAGTGCAAACCGGGACTGTTATACGACGTTAATAGAGAAAAAGATATTAATTTATTCAGAAAATTCGATGGTCATGAAATTTAACATTAATTCAACATGTACATAAACAATTCAGCTATACAAGGCACAGTACATATTTCAGGCATAAATTAACGCTGGTCAGGTCCACAAATAATGGTAGACAGCAAAATTGAACCTTGAATTGAACACCAACATTAATAATTAGTCTAATGTAGGTTAAAATAACTAGTAAATTAAGTTATTGATACATAGGAAACTGAACACACACACACACACGCCGTAATGTACAGTACTTGATGTTTGGGGTCAGATAAACACAGTACGTGGTTATGGGTTGGTGTACAGTACGTGGTTATGGGTTGGTGTACAGTACGTGGTTATGGGTTGGTGTACAGTACGTGGTTATGGGTTGGTGTACAGTACGTGGTTATGGTGTACAGTACGTGGTTATGGGTTGGTGTACAGTACGTGGTTATGGGTTGGTGTACAGTACGTGGTTATGGGTGGTACAGTACGTGGTTATGGGTTGGTGTACAGTACGTGGTTATGGGTTGGTGTACAGTACGTGGTTATGGGTTGGTGTACAGTACGTGGTTATGGTGTACAGTACGTGGTTATGGGTTGGTGTTCACAGTACACGTGGTTATTATGGTTGGTGTGGTACGTGGTGGTTATGGGTGATTACAGTACAGTGGTGGTTATGGTGAGTACAGTTGGGTGGTACGTGGTTATGGGTTGGTGTGTACATTAATGTATGGGTTGGTGTACAGTACGTGGTTAACAGTACGTGGTTATGCCGCAGTACGTGGTTATGGGTTGGTGTACAGTACGTGGTTATGGGTTGGTGTACAGTACGTGGTTATGGGTTGGTGTACAGTACGTGGTTATGGGTTGGTGTACAGTACGTGGTTATGGGTTGGTGTACAGTACGTGGTTATGGTGTACAGTACGTGGTTATGGGTTGGTGTTCATTAATTAATATGTTGTTAATTTTGCCACTAACAGCGTCTAGTTTATTGTGCACCCCATACTCATCCTGTGAGTTGTAGCACAAAAGGATTACAGAAATGAGTTCACAAAGGGTCAGTGTAACTAACCCCCGCGGTCAGGATTTTATGGCACTGAATGTTACAGAGTATTTCAAATAAATTCTTTGTTTAGTTCTGTACGTAAAGGGTAACTTATTCACACCTGCATGAGTACAGGAGTGTGAGGCAGTATGTCTGGCTGCACACTTTGTTATTAACACCTGCGTGAGTACAGCAGTGTGAGGCCGGTCCGACTAATTACCCAAATGTAGCCAAATGTAGCCAAATATAGCCGCAGTGAAGTCAAATAATGGTCCTAGATGAATAAATCGGACTGCTAATCACTTCTCGACTAGTATTTGGTGTCAGAAAGTCACAAAAAATTGGAGTGACACGTTATATATAATTTGTTTAAAGTCCTGCTATAATAGTAGAGATAAGTTTATTTATCAAGAAACAGGGCCGTCATTTGCAATGGTGTCACCCGTTTCAAACTCACAGCTGCAGTCGTAGGTACTAGAAAGGATGGCCTCTTTAGACCCCAAATGCCACGTTCAGGTAAGTCTCAAGGGTGGGTTTTTTATGGTCTAAGTCATAGACATTTCGTAAGTGAAGAAATATGCCGTGAAGAACAGCTTCGAACGTAGGTTGGGTGGATATATGAGCGATAGGGGTTGGGTGTAAATGGGACTGCCCAGTATGTGCCAATAGGCCCGCTGCAGTTTCCTCCATTCTTATGTTCTTTTGTACATAAAAACTCCCATGTTCACACCAGCTCAGCTGTCATATATTCTTACCTGGTAGACTTTCTCTTTTTTCAGTCCATTTACAGAGTATATCAGTACTAGATGGAGATACGTGTCGATTTAGAAGTAATGCCATTGTCTGGACTTTGTTTTGATAATGCCTGATGCTGGGTAAACATGACAACATAGTGCTGTTATTGTTTTGATGATTCACTAATGAACTACTGGGATATATAATCATTTATATTAATTAATGGGTAAAATTTAACTATAACTACCATAAGTATTTGGATGTTTTGATTAAAGATAGGCTATATTGGGTAAATTTTAAGTTTTGGTCATCCCTGTACTGAGACATGCAGACTATATATTTTTTGTTGGTTTGCGATGTGTTATGAACGATGTAGACCTTCAGTTATATCGGAGATCACTAGTTTTGAGTTACCACCCCCCACCCCCCTCCCTTACCGGTGTATGTTAAGCTAACCTTATAACTTATCATAACCTAACCTAACCTAACCTATGATCTGTATTTTCTTATGCGCTTGAAAAATGTTTTGCGACATAAATCCTGTAGAGAAAATGTGTCTTATTGTTTAAAGTACTTAATCCCATAGTTAGAATCTTAAGGCTCCCCAGGTGACCAAAATAATACCAATATTGTTTAGAATTTTTATACTATGAAATTTGTTGTATTGGCAGCTAATATCCATTGAATTAGTTTGTGGGTTTAGTAATATTTATATATTCAAAATAGTATAACTGTGTTTCACAATAAAGCACAATTAATTATCTAATAATATTTATTTACTGAGCCGATCAGCCGAGAAGGTTGGACATCTACAGTTGGCTGCCTCCTACTGGGAAGCTCACCCCAACCAGTGGTCACAACCAATCACAGAGCTTTTAGCAGTCACGACTTTTTAGCAACTTAACCCTTATTTTTGACACTTTTTTGGCCAATTTGTTGAAAAATATCATTCCCATAGTGAATT